TGCCTTCATGTGGAGAGTGATTCAGTCCATCTCGGGCTGGAGATGGCTGCGAGACACTGGGAACAGGGCCTGCCACGGAGGGCGGGGACTTGAAGCTCTCAGCTCAACCTGTGGGCCAGAGCGTGTTTCCTCTCGGGGCTGTGGGGGGCACGGAGCTCTGCAAGAGCCTCTAGTCCCCGTGTTCTCTGGTGGCAGGGACACCCTGACCAGGGGCTCTCTGGGGAGAGGGAGTGGGCATCTCCAAATCACAGCCGCCAGTGTGGCAGAGGGGTCGGACTTATGAAACGGAAGGAGTCGAGGATATTTTTAATCAAGAGTTGTGTTTTGTTTCTCCAAAGGGGGAGAAACACCGACGGTGCCCGAATCTGCAAGAAACCCCTGGGAGCTGCAGCTGGGGGTGCCCAGCCCTGGCAGCCGCAGGTCGTCCCTGACTCTGAGGGCACAGCGAGGCAGAGCGATAATAATAGCGTGCCCGCCGCCAGCCTCCACCTGAAGGGTTTATGAGGACACTCTGCAATGCCATATTTCTGGGCAAACGTGAACCAAGATTGAGACCCAGATTTTCAGGGAAATAGCAGGCGGGGGTCTTCAGGCCCACCGTGTAGCCGCTCTGTGGATGGAACCCAGTGGCCAGGGCTCCTCAGACTGCACCCGACAGGCCAGTCCAGAGAGGCAGCCCCAGAGCTGGGGAGGCCCTTGTCACACCTGCCCCTGGACGGCCCTGTAGCACAGCGCTGGCCACGTGTGCTGGGGAGGAGCCGGTGATGGTGCCGTCTTCTGTTCCCTTTGCAGGGATGGCCGAGTGCATTCGCCCACGTGGTGTGAGGCCCCCATGGCTCCGCCAGGCCTCTTCTTGGCCACATTACTGAGGGTGCCTCGATCACGGTGACTGCACTCTGAACAATTTTGGTTCCACTCTGTGGTTTTGTAATTTCCATTTTTAAGACTTCTCAGGCTGAATGCTGGTGTGCCAGTCCAGGATGGGCATACTTAAAATGAAACTGCGGAGCTAAGATTATCCCCAACCAAGACGGTGCACACTAGTCCCTTCTATTTACAGCTGACCACAGTCATTATATGGAAGGCCTCTGGTCTTTACTGTGCACTCCAGGGAGCAGGAGGGGCAGTAGTGGGCAGTGGCAGTCACCAAAAAAAGAACTGGAACTCCTTCCAAAGGCAGAGGGCCGGGCTGCTGCCCAGCCGCATGAGCCTGCGTGGTGGCCAGGGGAGCTACCGGAGGACCTCATTGCAGGACTGCTTACCTCAGGGCCCGCAGCTCATGATGGACAGTGAGTGGACTTCTCAGAGTTGCACCTGGCTGCCCAGAGTCTCAGTGACAGCACCCCAACGCTCCCACCCAGCTCCTTCCCTAGGTAGCTGACCTGTGAACTCCAACCTGCAGAGACAAACCTGCTCGGCGTGATGTGGAGAAAGGAGAAGCTCCGCGTTCTGGGTCTGCTTTTGCCTCTGGCTCATTGTGTGGTTTGGGCTCGATGTCCTCTAGCAAAATCAGAGGGTTGAACTGAGACTCTTCTGATCCAAATTTCTGCTGTTCCTCAACTCTTCCGAGGAAGACAGATTTTCATGGCCCCGATTGTGTGCCACATGGACAACTGGGGAGAAAAGGAGAAAACCACCCGTTTGCCCAGATAACCCGTGTTTCGAAGTTTGTTTTTTCAAAAGTTGTCACACCGCGGGGTGGCTCACCCTCGGCCTTGGATGGCTTCTCACTCTGAGGGTGGAAGCAGCACACCTCTGGCTGGCTCCGATTGTCCTTGTTCTGGGGTGTCCTTGTGATGAGGTGTTCTGGGAAGCAGAGGTCTTCTGGTCACGGCTGTGCGGTCTCTCGGGTTTCTTGGATGCCACCATCGGTATTTGAAGTCCTAGCCTTAGGTGGGCCCTGGAGGGAGGCCTGAGAGACTGCATCCACCGTCCCCTCTGCAAGGACAGCAAGTCTTCTCCCCGCTGAGCTGTGGGTGCCTCGTCCGTGGCTCTGCCCTGGTCCCTCGTCACACTGTGTTTACTAAGGGAGAAAACGAGGGGGTGGTGTCCCCCTTGTTCCGTAGATCATCACGGATTTGAAGAAGAGGCAGATGAGAAGGAGATCAGGCCCGCAGATGCCCGGGAGCCAAAGGGGAGACTGACTGGTGGATTGGCAAGAAGACACCAGGTTCTGAGGGACATCTGCTCAGGCAGAGACTTGTACATGAAGAGTCACAAGGCAGATGTACACTCACCATCTGCCTCGTGACTCTCGGGCTCCCCTGGATCAGGGCTACTCCAACTTCTCCTGTGAAGGGCCAGTTGGTCAGTAGGTTTGTGGCCCCGTGGTTTCTGTTCCAACCAATCAACTTTTCGTGGTGCCAAAGCTGTTGTAGACGATGTGGATGAGCCCTTGTGAGGTCTTCAGCGAGCTTTATGTACCAGGACAGGCGGTGCTCTGATTCAGCCTGTCGCCTGCTGTGCTGAGCCCTGGTCTAGACGTATTGGGATCAATCTACTAGGTTATCAGTATTGTGCCCCTATTGTGTGATTTATCAGTGACAAGGAGAAGGCCCTGCCCTGAACACCTGTGGCCCACAGAGCAGCCTCCACTTACCTATCAGAAAAGACCAGTTTTTAAACAATCGTAGGCAGTGTGATTCCTGTCTGTTTCCTGGGGTGCATGCAGTCAGAACCCAAACCTGTCCATGTTCTCAGGGTGGATTTCTTCTCAATTATCATGAACCATATTTTTTTGTACCACTCTATGACCAAAAAAAAAAATTCTGGAATTAAAACCAAACTCCTGAGGGCAAACTCCCTTTAGGAAGCACCTGTCGGACCCAGAGAAGGTGTTAGAGATGCCCACATGCTGGGTGACGGGCAGCCACCCTAGGACAGGTCCAGAGGCGCTGGGAGCACCAGCGGGCAGCCCGGCCGTCTTCCCAGGTGGCTGGCAAGCTTCCTCCTGGGCTCAGAGCGACTGAAACATACAGGGAAGGTCAGCCGTTGGCTTCTCACCAGATCTGTGGATACAGTGGTGAAGAGACAGGCCCCGGGAAAAGAAGTCCCAGAAAGATGCTTCTACAAAGAAGGAAAGATGGGCTGGGGCTGGGGCTCAGTGTCAACGCACTTGCCTGGCACGTGTGAGGCCCTGGGTTGATTCTCAGCACCACAAACAAATAAATCAATAACATAAAGGTCCATCAACATCTAAAAAAAAATTAAAAAAATAAATAAATGAAAGAAGGAAAGAGCGTTGTTTTTACCCTCTCGTTTCCACCTTTTATCTCAGTCATACCAAGTACAATGAGCTTCTTCTGGAACCTGCCGCAAACTCCACGTTGCCTCCTGGAACATGCTGATCAATGAACGATATTAAATTACAATAATCAACTTCTTATTTTCTCAAATTTTATGCCTAGCACATGTGTTTTTCTGGGTTTGTTTGTTGCTGTGCGGGGATGGAACCGGTGTCCTGCGTGCTGGGCGGGTGCTCCACCACCCGGCTGCAGCCCAGCCCAGCCCAGCCAGCAAGTGCCGTCTTGATGCAAAGAAGCCTCAGCGTGTGACGCAGGTCGCACCGGCTGAAGGACAGCTCCGTTCCAGTCAGCAGTCAGGACACTTAAGAACGTGGACGTGGTCGGAGAGGGCTTGGGAGCATTGGCTGACCTTCTGTGAGGTCTAAAGATGCAGTGGGAAGCCAGGTCAGGAGTTCCAGGTGTGGGTCACCTCCCCCCACCCCCGCTCCTTCCGCTTTTCTGTGCTGAGGACATTGGAGGGGCAGCTGACACCCGCAGGCTGGAAAACGTGTGCACGGACTTGACTCAGGGGAGAATTCTCTCTAAAGAGCGTGGGCAGGACCACCTTGGCTTTCCCCAGACGTCCGGAGACTTCTCGAGGGTGGTCAGCCAGGGGACAGTGTGATTCTTCGAGGAGGAGGAGGTGCCCACGAGTGTACCTCCTACCAACCCTATGGAAGGTGTCCCTTGTGGGTTTGGGGTGACGACAATCTCTGAGATGTCGCCAAGTTGCTTTTTTCCCCTCAAAATTCTCTGGGATGAGAGGTGTAGATCCTCAGCGAAGGGGACCCTGAGACCAGGGGAGGCTTCTGCAGGGCAGAGGTGAAAACCTGCCCAGGCCCCGCCGTGTCGGCAGGAGGCCTGGCCTGTCTGCAGGGAGTGCTGTCCTGCAGCCGCCTAGGTGAGAAGCCAGGTCAGGCCGCATAGGTTTGTAGGCAAGGGCAGCTGGGGAAGCAGGACACCCGCCCGGGCGTGTGAGGATGGGGCTGGGCCACCTGATGGCCCCGTCTCAGGTTGGAGATCACCCTCAGCGAGATCCTCCATGTCTGATTCTCAGCTGGTGACGATGACACCAGGTGCCTACCTGGGGCTCCAATGGGAGAATGGAGGGGACGGGGTCTGGGGAGCAACCTGAGACCTCCCCGGTGTTGGGAGGAGAGGCTCCCCCTCCTCCTGCCTTCCAGCCCCGCGTGGCTGTGAGTCCAAGTGACGGGGACTGGCTGGCACAGAGAGATGGGCAGGAGCTATTAACACTCACACGCTCGGTGTTCCCAGAAGAGAAACTCCAAGGAGAGTTAGATCCAGGGACCTACAGACCTTTACTAAGAGAAGAGGGTTGGGATTCGGGGATGACGAATTGTGGGCAGTACCTTGGAAACCACGGGGGTGGGGGACTAATGGAGGAGAAGAGCTATTTAGAGGGTCTGCTTACTCAGACTCTTCTGTGTGCAGCCCCGTCCTGTGATGAGACCTGCTCTCCCCGCCCTGGTGAGGGCTCCACCTTCACAGACGGAGGTTCATGCTCTGGGTTTGGGGTCGTGTATTGATTCTCAGTTGCCTTCCCATCAAGACGATCCTCGTGCCAAAGTGGCATGTTTGGGGTGGCACAGTGCCCACCCCTCCAGAGCGTTCTACAAATGTGAAGCATTTATTCTTCTATTTTAGGTTACATTTTCTTTCCTCACTTTGAAATCTCAGTTTCTATTAAGTTCACAGTGAACTGACACAGTTGAAAAGATGGAAGAGAGATAACAAGACCTTTTAAAAATATCCTTGTATGTCCTGCTCCCCATGGTCCTGTTCTTTCACTGTCAAGAAGCCGCCACAGAAGATGGGACAGAACTCACCCCTTAAAACCAGGCCCAGTGGACCCCACCTCAGCACCGTGACTGCAGTCTCCGACGTCCAGGCGCTCACACACCTCCTGAGCTTTGGAGGACACGTGGGAATTTTGGGGGATGGCTGGAGGTTCGAGAGTTTCCTTAGCAGATCATTTCCGGCCGATGCTGAGATTCAGCCCCTGTTGGAGCTCAAAATGGAACCGCTTCAGAAACGCAGCCCAGTGGATGTCAGGAGTGTGAAGTGGCAGCTCAGTTGTGGGAGGGGCTCTGACAAGAAAAGAATTGCCCTGGACCCAAGCAAAACTCAAAATCCACAGAGTTTTATTTGAATGATCTTGAAGGTTTTCTCCATTTAACAACATTAAGATTCTTTTGCTTGGCTGTAACATTTTGACACTGATAGTATGAATACCAAGGAGGAATGTGATGTAGGTAGAAGTGTTTTGGACCAACTGAAATAAATTCAGATAAAAGATATTTATCTGAGTGTCTTTTACTGATTTTTACTGGGGTGCTTCATAGATCTTTCTGTTTTGAATTTTGAGACAGGGTCTTGCTAAGTTCCCTAGTCCTCGAATTCGGGATCCTCCTGCCCCAGCCTCCTGAATGATGGGATCACCGGTGTGTGCCACCGTGCCCGGCTGCATTATTCATTATGAAATTTCCTACACATTTCTAACACTTTTGCTTGAATTGGACTTTGTCCAATGCTAACGCTTTAACCAACACTTATGATGACATTCCAAATGTAATAATTATAAATTAGATGGACAAAGAAAATGTATGTTTTATCTTTTTAGCACCCAAGCCAGTTTTCTTCACAAGCTTTTGTAGGATTGAAAGGGAGAAAACTGGAATTTTCCAACTGCTGGCGCCTGGCCTCCTTAGGATCACTTTTCCTTGGGGGGAGCTCAGGGGTTGGACTCCTGCTGCTCTCACACAACCTTGCAGCACCTGTGGCCACTGTCCTCCGTGCTCCCTGGGGCAGGCTGTCTGTTGGGGTCTGACTTGCTGTTCTGGGCCTTGGGTGTTCTGCACTGGGTTGAGAAGAGTCATGTTCTGAGGTTGCTATCGTTTTCTGATCCCAGATCTTTGTGGCTCTGCCAGACGGCTGGCTCTTCTGGGTCTGTGGCCAGGGATGCACCCTCTGGGCCCCTTGCATGCTACACGCAGGCTTCGAGGGACCCCCCCACCCGCTAGCCCGGGCTCCAGGGCTTGGCTCCCTCTGCCAACATGCTGCAGGGATGTCCACGTCTTGTTGGCATGGCGCCAGCAAGGTCCTCCCCGAGGCCCACCGCCTGCTGCAGGCCAAGGACGAGGCGGCCACTGGCCAGGGTACTCAGCTTCCCTCTCCCTGGCTGGGAAGTGCCTCTAGCTCTGTCCCTTTGTGTGTTCATTAGAGAACGTTTAACTTTGCTGGGCCATTTTGGGCTTTGGAGATTGATCTAACGCCCAGCGTTAAGAAAGTGTGACCTCATCTGAGCGGCTGCTCCTTTAATAAGCACTTTACCTTGGTTATCTGTGTTGGTGACCTGCCAGCACATCCTGACGAGCTATCTTCAGAACCCACCCAGCTCCACCTCCTTCTTCCCCACTGTCCCTGCCCCCATTTGGCTACTTCTTGTTCCTCCGTTTTGTTTTGGTTGGATTATGGCAAGGGCTTCCAAATTCATCTCCCTGATTCCAACCCACATGGCAGCCAGAGTGATTATTTAAAAACATTAATGAGATCATGTCAGTTTGCAAGACCCAACAAAGGCATCCCTGCACCCACGGACCGGAAGCCAGACTTCCCCGCTGCACACGGCCCTCTGCCTGCCAGGCTTCCTGGCCAGCCCTGACTCCACTGCAGCCAGGCCCCGGGCATTCCTTCTGCTCTGGAGCAAGACGCTTCTCGCTGCCTTCAGGCTTGGGGCTGGTCTGCTCCGTCTGCAGAGAGCTCTCTCCCCAGGACCTCGCGGCTGGCTTCCTCCAGCACAGAGGCCTCTCCCCGGGCATCTGGAGGGTCTCCAGTGCACTTTCTGAGCTCCCTCTGCTGTGTTCTTCAGGGCGCATGTATTGCCCGGAGGTCATACTGACACGGGTCTCTGCCCGCCTCAAGGCCTGAACACAAGCCCCGGGTGGGACTCACTAATCCTCCTGTCACCCTAGCAGGAGAAGGAGTCACGATGGCTCAGTCAGGCCCTGTTCTGAGCCCTTTCCATGGATCAGGTCTTTGTCTACCTTGCGCTCTCACGAGGCTGGTGCCAGTAAGGCCTTCATGGTATTGCTGGCAGAACGGAGACGCAGACACTGTCAAGGACCTTCCTCCTGAGTCCTGGGTAGCCGGGAAGCTGGCAGAGTGGCAGGGAAATTGTGACGAGGCCAGGTGAAGTATCACAGGCATGGAGGAGGGCCAGGAGGCACTAGGCGGGGTCTTGTTTACCTCTAAGAAGCTTTGGTAGAAGCCATATCTGAAGGCCCTGGAATGGCTTCATCAGTGTGTGTGTGTGTGTGTGTGTGTGTGTGTGGCCTTCCACGGTGGCTCGTGCAGGTGTCAGGCTCATCCTGCAGTGGGGGTGCCAAGAGGAACCTCTGTTCAGTTTCAACTCTCCTGAGGACCTCAAGTCGGTGAGTTAACAGAGAGCTAGGAGAGAGCACGTTTCACCCCTGCGAGGTGGTATGGGGGATGGGAGAAGGTAGGTCCAGCCATCGGGAGAAAACCAGGATTTGCCTACTTTGAAGGAACAATTCTGACTTCATGAGGCATAATTCATGTCAGTGCTTAGGGCTGATGAGAGTGTGTCAGGAGGCCATGGGATTCCCATGCCAGAGATGGCAGTCCGTCAGGGTGCCCCATAGCCAACCTGTGCTCACCAACATTCAGACGTGAGTGAGATTGACTGCACATGTTAAGTGATAAGTGCTGTTGCCACCAACAGTGACCTGTCGTCACTGGGTTTCAGGGCCAGTGAGGGCCATCTTCACAGCCGTCCTGGTGAGGAAAGTAGTGCTGTGATCTCCATTCCACGCTGAGGAAACTGAGGCCCAGAAAGCTTAAGTAGTTTGCCTAAAGTCACAGAGCTACAAAGAGGTAGCTGGAATTTAACCCAATCCTAGGGTTGTGTAAATACAGCAAGCAAATACTGACCACTCTTGAGTGGCTATCGTTTGCTCCTGTGCTGGGCACTTTGGTGTGTTTTGTCTCTTAATGCTCATGAAGTGAGTGTTAAGCCCATATTATAAGGAAAGAAACCAAGGCTCTGATCAGATTAGGGAATGTTCCAGAGGTTATATAAACCAGCTTGTTTGCTCTGAAGTCTGTACAAAGTAGTAACTTATTAAACTTGAAACTAGCAAACAGGATCCTGTTCTTCCTTTCCCACCCTGAGACTTTTCCCTCTGCCAGTTTTCTCTCATCCTTTGTGATTTAGGATATTCAGCTCAACAATGTGCATGATATAAAACCTGCTAACATTGCGGAGCTCAGATTGTGTGCTGGGCATCCTGCTAAATGGTTTTCCAGGAGTTACCTCATCCAGACCTCCCGCAACCTCGCGGGGTGGGTCCTGTCCTCAGCACCCTTTCATACAGGAGCAAGTGCATGGTGAAGCAATTTTCTGGAGAGAACATGGAGCATTTTACAGCTGCATTGTCTTCCCTGCACAAAGACTACAGGAGCCCCATGCAGAAGTCTTTTCATGTTTGAATATTAAAAAATATGCGCATAGTTCTATTTTAAAACCCTATTTTTCAAATGGTTTTCTTTGGGGGAAGTGGTGGTTGGAGTGCATTCTTTGTGGTGTGTTTCTTGAGTGGAGATGCTGGGCTGATCCGGTTAGTTCTGGACACTTCCTCTCCCTCCTTTCTCTCTGTTCCAGGAGGCCACTGCCAGCAGCCCATGGAGGGAGCCTGTGGGGGAGGGCGCTGGGTCTCTGGGAAGCTCATTTGCATACTGCTTGTTCCCGAGGCCGCCCGCATCCTGCTGGGGACAACGTGCTGTCTGATAAACAGGCTGCGTCCCAGTGTCTGCCTGGCGCTGGGCCAGCATGCAGGGCCAGGGCTGTTTGTTCTGCCTGGAAGTCCAAGGACAGCCCAGACCAGCTAAATAAACCTTTTATTCCCCCGCTGTCCCTGGCAGAAAGTCCCTGGGTCAGAGGGAGCCTCAGAACCCTCCACAGGAGCTCTGCCCCCTGCGGAGGCTCCATCTCCCTCTCTGACTATAAATTGGGTGGGGCTTGGAAGATGGAGCGCAGGGCGCTCTGCCCACCCAGGCGGGCGAAGGCCTGATGACAAACAGTTACTTCCACGTCTGTTTTCTGCGTGTTCCCTTTCTCTCCCCTCCTGCGCAGCCCAACACCAGAGGCAGTGGTGGCTTCAACCACTGGCCACTGCAGGTCGTGCTGGGTGAGATCTGGGTGACTGAGTCCCCGTTACTGTGCTGTCTCTACAGTCTGGTAGATTAAAAAGTGAGGAAGATCTTGGGAGCCAGTCTCGTGGATGGCTGCGAAGGCTAAGGAAGTATTTCTGCTTCCTTTTACTCCAGCACAACTCAGCATCTCCTCTCTGCTTAAAGGACTGCAGAGCTAAACCTGGCACCCATTTTAACCAGCACTTTTGATGGCCCTGTGACCAGGAGGGAGGCACCCTGGGGCACAGGAGTGGTTTTAACATTTCTCATCAGTAACTTGTATGAAGGAACCTTTTTTTTTTTTTGAGGGAACAGGATCTGCAGTGATTTCCTTTCTGCATTTACAGTGACCTCTGCAACAATCATACCACCCATCTGCAGTGAATTCCACACCCACCCACAGTGGAGACCATCCCCAGGTGTGGACGGGACCCTCCTGGAGGCATCTGCGTGATGATGGAGACGGTGTTGCAGAGCAGTATGGAACAGACGCCAGTCAGTGTCTTGAAGGATGAGCCATGTTTCTGATGCAGGATTTCTGATAGCGGAAGAACAATCATGAGAGATGGATTATCGTGAATTTGGAGGTTAAACACTGGCATGTGACTGGTGTTGAGGCTTATTGTGGAAATGGAAAGGAGTCCTGCATAGAGAGCCTGTGAAGAAGCTGTGACAGCTGGTCACCCCACTGGCTTCGGGAGTCACCTCCCTGTGTTGTGCTGGGGCAGGCTCAGGGGACCTGCCAGGATGGGTGGGGGCTGGGGGTGGGGTGCAGCTCACTGTCCTTGGTAAATTCCAATTGCTGCTGATTCTGAATCTCCAGGACCCATGTGACATGTGAAAAAATGTTCCTAAACTTCTACGATCTTCCTAATCTAGAAGCTGGTGTGGCCTGGTGGATGGCTGGTGCTCAGGGCGGAGGGGTGACTGGATCAAGTGGATATCATTTCCTGAGCATCTCCCAAGCCAGCTTTAGTTACATTGATGTATTCATTTATCTATTTTGGTACTAGGGGTTGAACCCAGGGGTGTTTTACCCTGAAGCTACATCCCCAGCCTTTTAAAAAAAATTTTTGTCATAGGGTCTTGCCAACTTGCTGAGGATGGCCTTGAACTTTCGATCCTCCTGCCTCCGCCTCCTGAGTCCCTGGGCTCAAGGCATGCGCTGCCACATCATTGCATTTATTACCCTTTAATCAAGTAGCAGCGTTCTTCCTGGCATTCCAGGAAGAGATGTAAGAAGGTCACCTCTCATCAGAGGCCATTCTGCTTCTCCAGGCTTCCCTTCCCGCGTCCTCAGCCTGGGGCACTCGGAGGAAATGCGCCACAGCAGGCCATCTCTGGTCTGTAGCTGTCAGCCCTATTCCTTGATCCCCCCAGTCCTCCAGTCCTGCTGCAGCTGGCTCAGCCTTCCCCTGGAGCCGGTGTGGTCCGTGCTCCTCCAGGGCCTGATCTCTGGGCTCTCTGGGGCACCTCTGGAGAGGTGGCAGCTGTGGATCTGCTGCCCCTGAGGGGGAGGGAAGCAGGGCCGCCCCTCCCATCGGGCCTGTGCTCCTCGGTTGCAGTTCTGGGAAATGACCAGGTCTGAGGAGGAAGCGGGAGCCGTGGGTTGGCAGTGCCACGCGGCTGTGGGCCCAAGGTCTTCCTGGCCAGGGTGCTTGAGGACAGGAAGTGGCGAGGGTGTGGCCTCAGACCTGGGCTTGGCAGGGAGGATGGGATCCAGTCTGCAGGTCATTCCTGTGTTTGAGAAAAGATGCTAACTGGCCTCGCAGGATGATTATTCCTGGGCTTGCTGCCATCCGAGTGGCTCTGTAAGGTGACATGGTGGTTAGTGACACTCAGGCCCGGGGACAAGCGCACAGAGTTCTGGTTTGGCATTCCGTCTCCCTCCAGGGGTGAGTTTTCTTCCTCTTCTTATGGGACAGTTAAGGTTTACATTTTCTTTTTACCGCTGAATCTAATTTAATTGTGGGTTATTTTATTTTATTTTTTTGTATATGTGCCCAGAATTTTGGGGTTATTGGTAAACTTTAAAAAATACCACAGCACATGTAAACATATATAATTTAAGAACCAGTCCTGACTGAGGCCATGCTATCCTTTGGAAAATTCTTACTTGGAAGCAATTCTAATTAACAAGGCATTTTCTGGTTTACTTCTTGCATGCTCTGTTAATAATAAAAAGATAGAATCTTTTTTCCTCCTATGATTTAATTTTTCCCTGTTCTGTTTCTCAAGAACCAACTCTATTATGGTTACCTTTAATAAAAAAATGTGGCTAACTTACGATAACAAACAGCCAACAAGACAGAGATAAGAAGTGTTGGGCCCTTAAAAGTCAGAATTTTCCAGATGTTCTTTTATAATAAATGCAGTGAAAACGAATTGCAGAGAAACCGCATGAAACTACAATTGGTTTATTCAAAAGAATCTCACCACTTAAAGAACATATCCCCTTCTTTTTTAAAAAAGGATATTGGGTTGGGGCTGGGGATGTGGCTCAAGCGGTAGCACGCTCGCCTGGCATGCGTGCGGCCCGGGTTCGATCCTCAGCACCACATACAAACAGAGATGTTTGTTTGTCCGCCGAAAACTAAAAAATAAATATTAAAAAATTCTCTCTCTCTCTCTTAAAAAAAAGGATATTGGGTAAATTGCTTGGCTATTCTGGACTGTTTTATTTTTCCTACCACTTGAGTTCCAGGTTGGGACAGTTTAGCTCCTTCCACAGAATATTCTCTGCCTAAGTCTGCTTTGCACCAGGGAGCAAGAGTGACCAGCTGTGACAGCTTGGTATTCCAAAGATACGTGACCTAATTCTTTACTCCCGAGCATGTCAGAGTCTACTGAGGAAGCAGTGGTTTGTTCAGGAAAGACAAGATGGCGGCTGGGTTCTGCTGTGCGCCCTGCACAGGAGGCCCTGGGCACTCACGCAGGTGACTGTTGGTGGACTGGGTCCACTTCTGGGGTGGGAAAACCTTTGAGGTGGAGGAGCTGGGTAGGTGAAATATTTATTTGCCAAGTAAAATATGATTCATCTTGTAATATGACTTGGAGCTGTTTGATGCTGTATCTTAGAAACTAAGAATTTCTTGTGCCTTTAAGGAGGTCACATTTACCAGGCTTTTGGAGGCTGAGGAAGGAGGGTCACAAGTTCAAGGTCAGCCACAGCAAGATAGTGAGGCCCTGTCTCTAAATAAAATAAAATAAAATAAAATGAAATAAAAAAGGCTGGGGTGTAGCTGAGTGGAGAGTGCTCTCCTCAAGGGTGAGACCCTGGGGTCTGCTCCCTGGCACAGCAGAACGTGCAATTAAATGAAAACCATGTATAGCCAGGTGCTGAGGCACACACCTGTAATCCCAGCAAGTTGAAGGCTGAGGCAGGAAGCTCTCAAGTTCAAAGCCAGCCTCAGTTACTTAGTGAGACCCTAAGCAACTTAGCAAGACCTTGTCTCTAAATAAAACTCAAAAAAATGGCTGGGGGTATGGTTCAGTGGTTAAATGCTCCTGAATTCAATATGCAGTATCAATAAGTAAATAAATAATAAAAACTTCACCTTTGCTTTTAGCAAGGGCCACCATCGAGGGGAGAGGGCCTTGAAACTGTCAGGGGGAAGAGTTCATTCCAGATCAGAATCGAACAGCAAGGTTAGAAAGTGGCTCAGGAGGAGAGCACGGGGTCCTGGCTCTGCCTAGGAGCTTGCTTGCAACCAGCCCACCCAGGCAGCAGGAAGCCAGGGGGGGCTCTGGGTGTTCAGCAGTTACAGCCCACAACCGTCCCTGCTCGATGGTCTGAGGTTGTAGCACCAACATTTTATTTGCTTTTTCTTTTCTAAATTATGTAAAGCATTTATATTGTTTTAATAGAAAAGTTGGCAAAAATAGAGATGAACAGAAAGAGAAAAAGAGCCATAAAAGGAAGACTCACCCAGAAGAAGAGCATCTTATTTCCCCACTTGGGTTAACCTCTATTAAACACAATGCCACATACTTTTTCACTGCTGTAGGAAATGTGTCTTGCAGCACTGATCAATTAAAACACTGTGCTCAGTTTCCCTTGCTACATTGTAAATTTATAGACAGTAAATTTACATCACTCGCTTGGTCTGATGTTTTCGAAGAAATTCCCTTTTATCAAACAAATTTTAAACAATATGTAACAACTGCCTTTCTCCAGCAACTTAGAATCACAATCCCAGATGCAAGCGTGGCTTTTCCAAAGTCACAGAAATGATCTGGAAGTGGACGCCACAATGTGGGCCACAGATGTGCCCTTCTCTGGGGCCAGGGCTTGATGTGCCTTGAAGACCCTCTGAAGGAGAGAGCAGAGGGGAGTCTTCCCTTCTGTGGGGGTGCTGGCCGAGTGCCAAGGTCGGGAATAGGAGCTTTGGCTGCGTCTTTCCTGGGAAGCCCAGGCCCTCCTGGCTGGGACACCTCGAGGACAGTGGGGAGTTGGCTGGCCATCGGCGGAGTGGGGGCCAGCTGCTCCAGGATCCTGTCCTGGGAGGAAGGGCGTGGCCTTGTGGAGTGGACTTACCTGGGAGCAGCCCTGCTCTCTCAGGCACCCACTCCTGGACATTGGGGGATTCACTGGTGTCAACTTGAGTTGATCTTTTAAAGGCCATGGCCATGGGCTGCCCTGGGGACTGTCTAATCCTACCAGAACAAACGGAATAAATTGACATGGGAACTATTACGAAGAGAAAGTGAACCCTAAGGTGAGTAGAGGATGAGATGGGCCAGTATTTATTTGGGATGTCTTGTAAATTGATGCCATCATTGCTACTATTCCTCCCCACCCCCGCCAGTTCTGGGGACCAAACGCAGGGCCTTGAGAGTGGTAAACCAGGGCTCCACCACTGAGCTACACTCCTGGTATTCTTAATATCTTCATCTCTGTTTTATAGATAAGGAAATAGAAGGAGGAAAAGTTAGTATTCTTGCTCCAAGTCACATGAAAACGATATCCAGGTTTTCTGGTAACTTAATCCAGCATGTGATATGATCCATATTTTCTTTTGTATAAATGCAGATAATAGTGTTTCCTGTCTTGCTTTCCATTTTTTCTTCTGCAAACCTGTTTTCTCATCCAAGCCCTCAGTCTCTCCATTATCCTTGGAACACGCTGTGGATACTACTCTCTGGGTCCCTTTGGCTCACCCCCTCCCTTTTCCGGCCACTCATTTCTAGGTGCTCAAACTCACCTGTGTTTCTAGGACAGCCTCTGCCCTTCTCCTCTAGCCAGCCCAGAGAAAGACCTGAGAAGTGGTAGCAGTCCTTGTTACATGAGGACATGGCACTGTAAACTCTGCAGCCTCTGAGAGGAGCGGCCACCTGGGTAGTAGCATCACTCGTGAGTAGTAGGTGAGGTTGACCAAGGCTGTGCAGGAAGCCGGAAAGCTGAGTGAGGACTTCGATTGGGAAGTATGGATCCTAGCACATGTTATGTAGCATTCCTTCAATACCTGACAAGGACTTAGATTTAATGGCAGGTACAAAGCTTTGAAACTTCTGTGTGCTTTGTTTTGTGCCATGGACTTAAGCATCACTAAATTGAAATCTTGGATCAGAGACGCAAGCCAGACACCCTTGTGTTTCCTGGGTCGGGCTTCTACCCTGGAGTTGAGCTTCTACAAAAGATGGCTATACGTCTGTTTTATCAGATTTGTTTCAGTACCTTTTTTAGGGTCAAACTAAAGGTGTGGATGAACCCCAGCTATCTACAAGTTAATCCTGTTGAATTCAAAATCCTTGGTGTAATGGGAAAATGGAGACTGCTAATTGGAACACATCACCCTGCCTATGTTCCCCCAACACTCAGGGATCCAAGTGTGTGTCTGCAGCTTGGAGAATGAATGATGTTGTGTTTCCACAGCATCCGGTGTTTAAAAATTCCTTACTTCAGCCAGGTAACTTGGTGTATTCCTGTAATCCCGACCACTCTGGAGGCTGAGGCAGGAGGATTGCCAGTTCGAGGTTGGTCTGGGTAAGTTAGTGAGACCCTGTTTCAAAAAAAAAAAGAAAGAAAGGAAAAAAATGAATCCCCTCCTAATCTGTTCCGTATGTAATAGAGATGATTAGACAGCTCTGTGGGGAAGGGCTGCAGTTTTGCCTTCAATAATGCCCTTCAGATACCAAAATCTCCAGTTTGGCCACATGCATTGATAGAAATAAATGCCTAATTTCTAAATCTCCATTTTCTTTTTGATCCAGGTAGATGGTCTGGATGTTGGTTAGTTGCCACGAAGCAAATGACAGTGAGATGCAGCGAGGGTTTGCGTTCCCTGTGAAGGGGCAGGGGGGCCGCAGGGACAGCGCAGGGGAGGGGTCTTTTCCGCGGAAGGCACAACTGGCTCTTTCCCTGGCTGTGCCTCTCCAGCCCAGCAGTGCCCAGAACGGCCACACGGCCTGCAGGGACACCATGCTTCCCTCTTGCCTTCACGGGTTTTATCCCCACTTGATCAGAGGGGCCTGCTTTCTGCTGAGAACCTAATCTTGAAATGAATCCTTTACTCTCTGAGGATTTAAAGAGGTCTTTCAGATTAAAAGTATATTACATATTTATGAGCTCTGATTTCAAGAATCACTTTGAAAGAGCTATTGATGCTGCTTTATACTAAAGATTTGTGCTTGGTCGCTTTTGATTCAGCCTTGGTTTTATTTGCCAGAGGTTCCAAACCATGCTGATAAATCTCTGAGGGTCCACTTCCTCCCTGTGAGAGGAACGTTGTTTGGGTCCCTGTCAGCATCTCATGGAACTGTCTGCCACTGGATCAAGAAAAGCAATTTTCTGAAGTTAAAATGGCAGCCCACTGTGTCAGGCAGTGCCCGTGAGGATGGTGACCTGCTAAGGAACCTTAGGGGTGCTCATTCAGTGCAGCAGGAGAGAGGATATCATGGTCTATTGAAGCCACGTCCCTGATGTTCGTGGTGAAGAGGGATCCCAAAAATGGTTATTATGCACTTTTAAAATGCATCATTGCTTGAGTGTCCCTGATTCCCTTTTTATTTATAAAGGTCATTGCCTTTAAATGACTTGCTTCCTGCATGAACAGATCCCAGGCGAGCTGAGAGAAAAGAAAAGACAATTGAAAGAAACCGAAATTATTTTTTGAGCTCTTAGGAAGAGACAGAGAGTCAAATGAACCTCGTTTCCTGATTGCCACAGTTCAAATACAATCAAAGGTTTTGCTTTCTTTAAATTAAAAATGAAATTTCTTGGGGAAGGCATTTCCCCCTCTTTGAAGAAGGGAGAGAAAAACACCCGGAAGCAGGGGCGCTTTGCAAGCCTCCTGGTGCCTGAGCAGAATTGCTAAGTGTGTCTCCCTCTCTGAGCTGGGCTGTCTGTATTCACTGTATCACAAGCTTGAAACCAGACCTCATTTGACGGAGCCAAAAAATGGTCCTTTTGTTGCCGTTTCCCCCCCCCAGTGTCATCTCTCATGGTTGCCCGGGCAACCGGTGTGTATCCTTTCAGCATAGGTTACTGGGCCCGGAAGGAAGTGCTCCAGTGCTGGCCTGCTATTTTTATAGAACCGTTACACAATACAATCCATTAAAGCTTCCTCTTGGTGTTTTATTGCACAAAGGGGAAATTAAGTTTGATGATTCCAGAATGTTGGACGGAGGCGGTCAGGTGCTGGGATTGTTGCACTCCGCATTCCCGTGTGCAATTTGAGGAGGACTGGTGTATGTGTGTGCCCTTGGCAATGTGCGCCTGCCTGGGGATCATTAGAGGAGACCGAGCTCTCAGTCGCTCAAGGGTGCAAGTTTTGTCCGACTACACAATGCTCTCTCTCTGGTAGGATGGCAACAGACAATGGAACCCTATTCACAGCTAAGGGCAAAGGGAATTTTAAAGGTGTAGCACATATGCTTTTCATAGCCTGGATGTCTACTGGCAAAGAGAATTGCACTGAAAGACAGGGACCAGGGGTCTCCCAAAGACTAGCACTGAAGCATCTCATGGTCGCCTTTGCCTCTGGCTCTGCAAGGTCCTGGAGTGGCAGGCAAGGGGCTGGGGTGCAGTGGGCATGGTGTCCCGTGGTGACTCAGAGCCTTTGCGACTTTCTGGAGGACCGAGAGAGGACAAAAACGCTTTGCTCCTTGACCCGTCTTACTGGCTTCGGTTCTCTACCAGCCTGGAATAAGGAAGGTACAGAGTGTGTCATGTCAGAAGTTCTGTCCCGGAGCAAAAAGGAACCCTTGTCTCCAGGGAGGCTTAAGGCCCCAGTGCCCGGGGTTCCGTGGATGGACACAGTCTACACCACCATCTCCTCTTCTCCACCGTCCATCGCTGTGGCGGAACCACCAGGCCCTGCCTCTTCCACCTCGTCCCCGCCTGCTCTTCTCCCAGGCACAACTCCCCGGATTCCCAGCTGCCTGCTGGAGAGCTCTTCTCAGGGTCTCACTTTACCTTGAACCCAAGAAGTTTAAGTGGAAACCTCCTGCTTCTTCCTTTACACTCTAACATTCCTCACACCACGTGGGGGTTTTCTCCCCCATGTCAACCTGGTCTTCAGTTCTTGTGGACACTGACAGGCACCCCACACTTTAATCCCTTCTGCTCTAATAGCCTGGAGTCAGGCAGAGACCCCTGTCCGGGCTCAGCCCCTCCCTAGGGGTAGAGGGTAAGAAAGATGCCATCCAGAGACCCAGTTAGAACAAGCATGAAGGGATGATTTAGCGGGATAGAAGTACCCTACATGTGGAGCAGGCCGCCTCCAAGAGAGGAAATGAGTTTTCATACCTGGTCTGCGACCCTCCCTCTGCACAGTGACCTCCCTCTGGGGTTACCATGGTTCCTGCCATGGCTTAGGGAACCCACACCAATTTCGCCATGTTGGAAATTTTCCAGAGAGATCACATCTGTTTTCTCCAGATTGACAGGGCTGCCTGACCACAAGGTCGCCGTCCCTACGCAGCATGATGGCAGCAGGGCACACAACCCAGGGAGGAGCTTGGGTTCTTCCCCACCTCCTTGCTCATGTCTATCCACCTACTCCCCATCTTTAGACACCAGGACCAAGTGGCGGGTCCCCAGCTTACCATGACTTCTGTCCAATTTGGCTACAAATTAGAGGTTCTAGGATCCCTCCCCAGAGTTGAGAGTTTTCCAGAATGGCCCCAGAACCCAGGGAATGTGGTTATCCTAGATCTGTTAGGATGCAGATGAACAGCAGATGGAGAGACACATAGGAAGGGTTCAGGACAGTCCCAAGCACAGGAGCTTCTGTCCCCATGGGGTTTGGGGGTGAAGATGCTTACCAACATGAAAACTCTTTGAATCCCGAATCCCTTCCCTTAGGAACTTGATCATGCAGCGTGGCCGGCTTCATGTTGGGTGTGGATGGCTTCTACCTTCAGCTCCTCTTCCCTCCTAGGAGATCTGGGGTGGGGCTAAAAGTCCAAACCCTCTGATCATGGTTGGCTCCCTGGCCACCAGCCCCCAGTCCTTGCTGATAAGCTGTCCCAATGTCACCTCCTTAACAAACTCAGGTGTGGTTAAAGGGCTCATGAAGGAGAAAAGATGCTCCTTTTGGCCTTGGTGGGCCTGACGTTGTTTCAGAAGCCAGGACAAAGACCAAGAGGCGTACCTCATTCTGTCACAATATCCAACACGAACACGGGTCTTCAGCTCCCCCAGTCAATGACTTTTACTAACTCCCTGGTAACTGAACTCAACGCTAACTCTTGACGTTGGGCTGGTCTAGTGCTGTCATTGTACACCTGGAGAGAGCGCCCAAGGAGGGGAGGTGGTTTGTTCAAGGTCACCCAGAGAGCTGGGGCAGAAGAGAGGGGCACCTCTTACCAGGCCCTGCATTCCTCCAGGGCTCAATGGACTGTGCTCCCACAGCCAGGGTGGCCGATCCTTCTTCCCTGGTCTCTTAGAAATCATTCCTGCTTTCCCATGTCCACTCTGATCAGGATAACTGAGGCCCTCATTTAATCAAGCCAGGACTATTTAGTTTCCTAATTGATTGTGGTCTTCACTTCTGCTGCTTGAATCAATTTTACTTCTGAAATCATCTCACAACTTTATTGTGTCACTTTATTATGCAACAGTTTTGATAACTTATATTGAAGCCTGAATTTAAGGCTCCATAACATGACTTCCTCCTCACCCTTCCAATTTGCCTGTCCAGGTTTATGGCCCCTCCCTACCTGTGGCTTTCTGTTGGGAAAGGTTGGTTTTATTCACCATTCTCTTTTTACAGGTCAGAGATACATTGATTGCTTCCTTTCTATTGCCTCAAAGAGGAAAGAGTCCCAATTCTTATTCTGTAGCATTTCCAGAAAATCCAACATGACAGGCAGCTGATGGAATAGTAATAAACATTTGGTGCAAATCTTCATTTGCTCATGTTACCAATTTCTTACACCAAACTGGATCCATTTTCCCTCTTGGAATTTGGAACCAATGACAAGATCCAGTGCTGTTTGAGCAGACAAGAAATGTGTCTTTTTGGCTGGAGAACAGAAGCAGGGAGACAAACTCATAGATCAGCTTTTCAACCTAAACAAAGGGTGGGTCCTCATGAGGGTGAGGGCAGAATTTTAGATAACCAGTAGGAGGATTATTCATGACTTTTCCAGAAAGGGGGTTGGGTCTACCTTGGGGACACGGAACTGCCTTCCTCTGATCCTTTATGTAGGCCAGTTCTAGTCTGGGTGGGAAGCAACCCAACCAAGATGGCGCTGCTGGGTGGGAATTCTACTGGGGCACTGTGTTAGGGTGGATGGTAATGAATCTGGTGTGAACAGTAGATCTACATGCTGTCCTTTGTGACTGAAACTAGTTTTGCCTGTTCCATTCTGTGTCCTGTTTTGCAGCAGCAGCTGGGGTCTTCAGAGACCTATGTGGCCAGTTAGGTCTCAGTATTTTGGCAGAAACAGAGTGCTGGCTAGCGAAAAGAATTATTTTTCGAGAGGGTGTCTGTCTAGTGATTAAACAGGTGAAACACTTCCCTTGTGCTCAAGGGGTGACCAAAAGGACATGGCTCTTGGTGCCTTGAAGTTTGTGAAGAGCAGAGGGAGACATTACATGAAAATATATAGCTCCTAAGACGCGATCACACCCAGAACCCACGGGCCACCGGGGTTTTAGGGCTACAAGGATCTGCGAGTTAGGGTTCCTGAGAGCAAATGGGTGGGGTGGGATAGCTGGGACCTCAGGGAAGATGCCCCCAGCAAGTGACATGCCAAAGCCTGAAGAGTGAGACCCAGCTGGAGCAGCAAAGAGGGCAGGGTGGTCAGACAGAAGGAGCAGAAGCTTGGCCGGGGTGGGGGGCATGATAAAAAGTTCTTTCTTAAAACCTTGGACCTGAAGAAGCTGCTCTGCCCAGGAAGGGGGCAGTATGGGATGGGAGGCCCAGCTCACCCCTCTCCGCCCCTTGGCCCGCTCCTGGGGAGGACTGGGCAGGGACCAGCTGGGGGTGGCCGTCCCCCCAGGCTGCCTGTTCCCAGCCCTGGCAGCCAGAGCGCCCTCCCAGCCTCCCCTCTCAGCTTACCTGCTCCTCCTCAGAGTGGAGGCTGAGGCCGCGGCCTGTCGTCAGAGTGAGGTGAACCACGGATGGTTCCTGAGGGCGCCAGCTGCCAACCTGGTGGGTCGCAGCCATCCTCTGTCATCGTCACCACAGGAGCTTCCTGTGAGAGCCAGACTTCCTCCCAGTGAGTGCCGACTCCCGGTCACACGGTCAGGGGCCTCCCCGCGTCCCCTCTCTGTAGTGAGCTGGAGAAAGAGCACCTTTGTCCTCTCCCTGCTCTGCCCAGGGCTCCCTGTGAGCCAGCTGCTCGCAGTGTGTCGGACGACTTCTGAGGGCGTCGACTGTCCTCTCTGTGTTTTCTGGTGACCCACCAAATATTTTTCTGTGGCTCCAGCTAAAGACAGGATTTCCCTCTTCTATTAATGAACAGAAAAAGTAACCTCTCATTTACCAGGTCTTTGGCATTCCTGAAGGGGAAATTTGTTGCCACTTGGAGGTTGGGGTCAGGCTAAGCTATTTGGAGGACTGAGAGGCAGAAGTGACAAGGCTAATCAGTCACCTAGCTGATGACAGTCTACCTCAGAACTCAGCATGTGCCGCGAATAGGCAGTGAGCTGCTATAAAGGCACTGAAATTTCTTGAACATTCTTTGTTTCTCTTGGGAGAAAAGAGAATTTTATCTTTGGGGGACATGGTTCCATTTAAGGAGAGCAGTGTTTTCCAAGGCAAAGGAGATAGAATCCACGCGTCTGTTTTTTACTGAGATTGGGATTCAGGAGGCTTTTCCCAGTGAGCTTAGTTTCTGGACCAGGTGCACCAGCAGGTCTGGCTGCCTGGGCTCCATCTCTTCTGTCTGCTGGCTGTGGGTCCCTTGCTGCTGTCTCCTTCCTGTCTCCTTCCTGCTGCATCTGCCTGTGAGGTGCTGGAACACCGTTTGAGAGCCGTGGCAGGGGCCTGAAGTACCGAATGCCCGCCGTCCCTACCGCCCAGGGTGGAGAGAGTGCGTCTCTGCAGGAGAACACACGATGAATTTGCATTGGGTGCTTTTCGGGTTCTTGTGCTCAGCCTTGAGGCAGCTGGGAGGATGTAGTTTCACGGGTGTCTGGTTTTAGGCTTTAAATACTGTGGTCTTTTGGGTCCCTTCCGCTTTAACAATGCATACCTTCGCATAAGAGAAACTGCAGAGGTTGAGTCACTGAATTTATGTGACAGTCCAGGGACAGGGTGGCCATACACACCGTTAGACACCTGGTTTTACTTCATTTGTGATTATCTCACTCTTAAGGGCACAAGAGTGACATTATATACTTTGTATTTGGCTTCTACTTTGTAGGTTAGGACAAAAAAGACAAGTAAAATTTTACAGAATTTTTGCTTATTGAACATGGGTCACATGAATAGTCGTGTGAGATTGATAAAACTTCTAAGAGTAGCACTGACTTGCCACGTCTCACCCTGCTGCAGACACTCTCAGTTTTGCAGATGCTTTGGGGTGCTGGTCAACCAGGAGGAAGCAAGAGTTTTCGCCATCTTCAAATCCATTATTGGGAGAGGTCTAAAGGCAGAGAAGTTGCGATCTGTAAGGCAGTTGGAAGGTCTAGCGCAGTTGCTTTCCTTGCCGGGGTCACCAGTAAAGCTACATGGCTGCTCCGAATGCCAGGCTGCAGGCTGGGGGACACACAGGGCCCATTATGTCCTGGGTCACAGCCTCCACCTGCAGGAAACCCACCATGCAGGAGCCAGGCAGCAGGCCAGATGACTGACACACACAATGACCTTGTTTGACTTAGGTCATGATGTTGAGAGCGCACCCGCTGGGGTCCTTGCGCGCCTCTTCACAGCAGAGTGACCTTGAGGTGCCTTCAGCCTGTCTGAGCCCACTCGGTCCCAGCTGCAGAACGGGGGTGATAGTGGTCTCTTCCTCTTAAGATCAATGTGGAGAAGAAACCAGGAATTACAGCTAAAAACTTAGCACCCAGTACAGACGCTGTAAATGTTAATTATTGCTATTACTGGGCTCAGTTTCATCAATCATTTAAAGTATTTTAAAACCATTATGTTATAAATTCTAAATATCAAAACTAGTAGCTTATCATAAGCTCAAGGCATTCATTCACAAGGAGCGTTAATGTCTGCTGCGTCTAAGACCCTGTGCAGGACCTTGCAAGACAGAAATCGGAATAAGAAGGACTCCTTTCTCTCAGTGTGTGCGTGTGTGTGTGTGTGTGTGTGTATGCTGCAGATTTTAAGTATCCCAAGATGGGGAAAAAGGAAATAGGAAAAGTGAAGCTTGGTGACATTTTCTTTTGCTCTGTTATCTATTCTTCCTGATACTGGCCTGTCATTAATTAATTAATTAATTAATCTATTTGTATTGGGGATTGAACCCAGGGGCACTCAACCACAGGGCCACATCCCCAGCCTTTTTATGTTTTATTTAGAGACAGGGTCTCACTGAGTTGCTTAGGGCCTCACTAAGTGGCTGAGGCTGGCTTTGAACTCATGATCCTCCTGCCTCAGCCTCCTGAGCTGCTGGGATTATAGGCGTGCACCATCAGGCTCGTCTGTTATTTGTTTTTTAGGAGTTTCTCTCCCAACAAATTTTCTGGGTTTCGACAACTTTCAGTGAGGTCTAACAGCTCTCGATTCTCTCTGATGGAGGCCGGCTTGGCTTCAGGGAGCCTGTAGGCCACCGCGCCTGCCACCCAGCCTTCGCTGCTGTGCGCACACAAGCAGGACCCCCCGCCACACACACACACACACCGGGCTGCTGCGAGGGCCAGCCTTTCTGGCAGAACCTCCTGAGGGAGATTTTTTCATGAAGTCCCGGGTCAGGAGACTAGAGCAGAGGCGCCTCCTCCTGTGGGACCTCGTGCAGCAGCCCATCCCCTCCTGGGCGGGGGTTCCCGCGGGGTGGTGTGTGAAAATGCGCTGCATTCTTCCGTTTTTCTCTTTGGTGCTCTCTGCAGCTCTTTTATGTGTATTTTCTTTTTCTTGCTGTTACTTTTCTCAAGAAAGAGCCCAGTGGCCTCCGCCCGTCTCGTTACATCACCATCTCACTGGGAAGCCGCCTCTTGCTCTCCTCTTAGCCACAAGCTCCTGGTTTGTGGACACGATTTCTGGACCCCCATCTCCTGGCTGTTGCCATCTGACAGGCACAGTTTGTACGGTGGCTGGCTTTCTTTGACCCACAGTTTTTGCTTCCAATGCTGCTCCCCTAAATGAAGTGCTTCGGGCCCCAACAGGGTGCCTGCAGTTTCCTGTTTGTTCAGGCCACTGATTTCTTCATCTTTTGTTGCAGTGAGAACCCTGGGCAACTGTCTTCTTGGCTGCTCTTGGCAATGCAACCTCTGACGTGGTTTGAAGTCATGGGTCCCCTCTGGATGTCTCTTAAGTCCGTATTACAGGGCTCTTGGTGTAATGGACACACACATCCAAGACAGCACCACTGTCAGTGACTCTCCACTTGAATCTCTCAAAAACATAGTGCTGCACCACATGCAGTTACTGAGCAGGTAAGACGTGGTGAGACAGCAATCGATATGGTTCTATTTTATAGTTACGTTCCCAAACTGAAACTGACTGCTTGCTCCAAAACCTAAGTTTCCTCCAGCCAGCCTCTCACTACCGGGCGGCTCTGGACACGCACTGTCTGCTGCTCTGGAGTGTCTGTGGAAGGTCCCTCCTGCTTCCTCCTCTCCCTCTCTCCTGGGAAAGGAGAAGCTGTTAGTTGATGCTCTTACTGCATTGCCACACTGAAGTTCTTACCATGCGATTCTCGCCCAGAAGCACTGATCCTTAGGTAATGTAGACCTGCTCATCAGTCCCTCTGTGGACAGTTCTCTGGTTGAAGTTAAAAATGCTGATGATTAGATACAAGGCTTTTTTCTTGCTTGGATTTTCAGCTTATATCTCCTACCGACATTGGTTCTATACTCTAGTTTAATAGACCACAGTTCCATTTCAGTATACTTTAGGTTTCTGATCCGTTACTTAGGACTAAGTACCAATCTCATAAGGCTGTGGTTTGCATTGATTTCATACATACTTAGAATAGACTGGGTCCTAGTAAATCCTTCAGAACATTTATTGTAATCTTGTTTTAGAATCAAACTTTTTATTGTTTTCTATACTTTTTGTAATGAAAGAAAACAAATAACTATACCCCAAATCCACAGCTTTTAAAACATTCATGCCTAATTCTGGCCCGGCTCTATAAATACCTCTTGGTTGATTCTTACTTGTCTTGATTAAACTTTATCCTCCTTAATGATAGTGCTTTATTATGATTATTTTAGTGTCCCCCTCCAAAAAAAAAATCACATGTGCTTTAGGAGGCATTTAATATCAAGTATCCATATGAAGAGAGTCTTTTGGTAAAGGGGATTCTCAAACTTTGGTTTGCTGAAATGGCCCAAGAAATACACAAGGGATCTGCACTGCGGTACTGTCTTTGAAGTCTTGTCGCCTGCCTTTAATTTTGCAGTAAGCGCCTAATCTCATTAGATTTCATACACTTAGTGTTTGCACTTGCACAAAAGCTGTCCAAACAAAGCCAAAATGTTGACACCACCGTCCTCTGATGGCATTTAGAATGAATATATTAAACACACTTGTACTAGCATTGCATTAAGCTAAGAAATAAATTTTGAACTTTGAACTCAGCAGGATAAAAAAGCTTTCCTTGATAGCTGAGCAATTGTGTTGGGGTATCATGGAGGGAATTCATTGTGTCATTCAGAGAATCCAAACATGCAAACATTCTCCACATACAGTAGACACTGCAAAGAAAAGAATTAAAGCCAAGAACCATCCTCAAGCCCTGTTGTTAGGGACCTAAAGGGAAGGTAAAGTGGGCTGGTGGATTTGCTTTGAAATTCATGAATGAACTTTGATTAAATTCACTTCAGAGGAGGGATCTGAAAGAACATCTCCTAGTTACTGTGCAAATTAGAGCATGCCTTCCTCCAGTCCACTCTGCTCATTTACAGATTTACAAATTTTCTTTTAAAATCTGGCGGTCAATCTTTTTATTGAGGGTTTGGAAGCTGGGGATTATAGAGAGCTCCAATTATAACACTTTCTTGATTCTTCTCATGAAACAAAGTTAGCAACAAGGCTAGGGTTGAAAACTAACTAAATCTAATGGTCAGAGATGTTTGAAGTTTATCAATAGCATCTAAAAGAAATAGGTCTCCCTGTAAATTGGTGTCCATCAACATCCATGTCTGGAACACAGCCATCAGTGAGGAGCTGGGCTCTGATAGCCCTGCATCAGGAGAACAGGAACACCAGACTCCCCTGTTGTGGCTTGCACATGTTACTTAATGCAAGATCTGTGTCAAGGGTTTGTTTTCATTTCCTGAGCGTGGTGATCCTGTAACTAACAGATCACTTTTTCATGTTTGCTTTGGCTTCCAGGCAACCCAGAACTCCATTTCCTAGAGCTAGCAACAAGAGGGCTAAAGTGCATCCAGTCTCTGTGTTGTCCACCCTTTCCTTTATCATTTATCTATTTTTATTTTTCTTTTGTTCAAATTTCCTCAAAAATCAGGATTCTTTTAATTGCATAGCTTTTAAAAGATGCCACAGATCGTCTGTGGAGAGGGATGGGGATACAGCCATTCATAAATCCATACAGAAGCTCATCCTCAAATTCATACTTGCAGCATGACTAGTCCCACAGTTTTCAAAACCACAGCAACGAGAAGCCACAACTTAGGAGCTGGGTGGTCATTAGGGGAAGGACAGTAAGACTATCAGTCAAAGTGACTTCTGAGGAGCTTCCCTGAGGACGTCAGGAAACTACCCTGAAGAGACAAGGGAGGGAACCCAAGGCCGTGTAGCACAGGACTGAAACCCTGACAGTCTCTGTGATCCAGGGCCCGTCCTGTGTCGCACTGTGTTCTCCTAAGATGACCTTGACGTAAGGTAAGATTATATGACGTGCCATGCACTTTGTCTAACTAGGCTGTGCTGTTTATCATCAGTTAAAAACATGCACCTAAAAGATGTCTTGTCTTTGAGAGGCAGAACTTCAGGTATCCAGAGCATGAAGTTGGCAGGAAAAACCTTCCTTCCCACCAGGCTGGATTAAGGTGTCACAATTCAGCACATGTGACATCCCTCCTGCAGGATGAGCTTCCATTCCAGTGTGTTGCTTCATGCAGACCGTCGCCAACATGTCCCGGCCAGTGGCCTGTGGTACCACCTGATCAGACCCTTCGTGAGGGGTGCAGAAGCCCTGGAGGGTGGGACCAGAAGGGTGGCACCGCTGCCTTCTCACTTCATGTTATTCATGAGCATTTTCCTTGTAACTGGGAATGTTAGAAGTTATTATGGAAATCTTTCAAGTGTACATAGGAAAGAAGAAACTACAGAGAGCCCCTGCCCAGGCTCAACACCTCACTCTGTGTCTCTCTCTTCTCTCACTTGGCAGAAGCATTTTAAAGGAAACCTTGACATTGTGACATTTGGACATTCTACCTTCAGAGACAGAGTAATTACATCTATACTTTTTGTAATGAAAGAAAACAAATAACTATACCCCAAATCCACAGCTTTTAAAACATTCATGCCTAATTCTGGCCCGGCTCTGTAAATACCTCTTGGTTGAGTCTTACTTGTTTTGATTCAACTTTATCCTCCTTAATGAGAGTGCTGTATTATGATTATTTTAGTGTCCCCCCCATCTTGATTAATGAAGGCAACGCCTAACTCAGGCCACAGTCGAATTTCCTTGAGACGCTCTTTCAGGTCCATGGAGTTCATTGTTTGGCTTCAGGAGCCAACGTCACCCTACAATGCCTCTGGCTGTGTGTCTCTTAAACCCTTGAACTCTAAAAGGGTGTCATCCAATATGGTAGCCTCCGGCTACAGGTGGATTTAAAATTAATAGTAAAGGAGATTATGGGTTCAGATGTAAGTCACGTTAGCCACATCTGGAGCACTTGGTGGTGACCACCAGGTCCTCCCTTGCTCTCCCAGATCATGCAGTAGCTGAAGACATTAGGTCAAATTCCATAGTTCTGGGTTGCTTAATTGGGGGCAGTTTAACTTGTTCCTTTTAATCTAGTTTTTTCCCTCCTATAAATTGGAAGTTATCAAAAGCGTGGTTAAAGTTCAATCATTTTTGTGAGGGGTGGGGGTGGACTATTTCATGTCAATTATAGGATCTGCATGGTACCTTATCATTTCAGTAAGTGTATATGTTACAATTTATACTTAAGATATGTTTTATTATTGGATGTTTGTTTTTTTGTGTGTTTTTCACTTTATATCTAGTAGTCATAAATATTTCTGCATAGAAAATTTTCCATCTTTAGGGTATTTCTTTGGGGTAGATGACCACAAAAAAAAAAAAAATCTGTACCACAGCTATTAACAGTTTTATGGCTTTGGACACATATTTTAAATAATTTTTCAAAAGGATTGTATTGACTGATGCAGCCCAGTAATATGTGGGTACCAGTTTTACCACATCTTTACCAACACTGAGTATTACTTACGGTCACAGTTGTTCCCCATGTAACAGTGCCCCGCACTTTGAGTAAATTTTTCTTCTTTCTTATTTCTCCATGTCTCCGGTGGCTGTACCAAAATGACCCTTCAACCAGGGTCCAGTTTGCAGCATCTCAGATGGAAGAGGGGGTGTACCCGGAAGCTTTGCCCTGGCCCTTCCTGCCTAGACCCTGTGGCTAAAGCCACGTTCCTCTCTGTATGATTCATTCCCAGCAGGATTAGGAATCAATCTTCTATGCCAGGTCTGTCCCTCCCGCTTGCCTAGGTCTGAAGCATCCTTTCCTTCAACAAGGCCCACGTCCCAGCTGCCCCTGTCCCTCTAGGTTAGAGGGCTTTAGTTGTCAGCTCTGTTCTCTTGTCAGCAGCAACCTGGGTTCTTACGGGCTCCGTCAGGCCGCCTGCCTGCTTTCTTTGCCAGTGCGCCCGTGTGGAGTCCTTGCCTCCCAGGAAGCCCACTGTAGCCCAACATGATTGACAACTTATGAGGTGCCAGGGCTTCGCAAGCACTTAATAACTGGTTGCAAGATTTATATGCAAGAGGTGGAATCAAAGAGAACCAAATGCTCCTGTTCTCTATAAATAATAATAATAATAAACCCAAATGTGGTTCAAACTGTTGTTGAGCAGTCACTGGAGAGAAGTAGATGAAGACGTCCTGTGAGAAATCTGCAGCTGCAGTTGCGCACTCCCTCGCACCTCCGTCCACGCCTGAACTTCCCCTCCAGTTGCGGCTCTGTGCGCCTCCACAGCCTTCTTCTCCGGTCTGTTTCCAGCCTGCCTTCCAGGCTGCTGACCTCTGGCTGGGCTTGGGTTCTTCCTTGCCCTCCCTTACATTTGCAAGTTACAAACAAAGCAAGTGTGACTGAGGTCGGAAGCTGACTCCTATACAAAGCTGCACATGTAGGACCAAAGCCGTCTGTCATGGGAAAGTTACAACTGCAGGGAGAGACTCAGCCTTGGAATTTCCTGCTCATCTGTCTCCTAAGCTAATGTT